TGAACAACTATAACATTTTATATATGCATTGGGTATAAAGAAAATTTTTGTACATGTACTAGTGAGTAAATAAATTAGCTAAGTATTTCCGTATAAGGACAAGATCAAACGAAGTAAAGCAATATATAACAATATGAAAAAAATAAAATACTTACATGGTGAAAAAAATAGGATAAATAAGGAATATTAACATAGCAAAAAACAAGCACCTTGTAACTTTACTGAGTAATCATGTGGATAATTAAGTAATGTTTTGATATATTGTACACTTCTTCACAGAACTTAAGTTTGATACCCTTTACGAACAAAACATGCCAAAATATTGACAAAAACCTCTGCCACTATGACATTTCTAATGTGACAAAGAAGGCAAGCCTCAAATATCTGGCTAAACATGACGAGACTGTGAATAAGTGATGGCAAGGCAAGATGGACATACACACAATTTCTTATTCCATTAGACCAGTGATACAATTTAATACTTTTATCAACAATATTTCAGTCATCAACACAAACAAGATAATTATTTGATGTCAAAAAAAGGAGTGCATAGAGACTTAAGCATGGGCTACAACACCAGTACCTGCAGGTATGTTGCGTAACAATGTTGATAGGCTGCCTGTAGGCACAGCATATAAGTTTTCATGTTCTTCAGTGCAGTGCCCACTCCTTCACAAGTATAATGAGTTTTCTTGTCAAGATATACTCATAAACAAATTAATTTCTATAGTGGCACTTCAATCTTCACACAAATGTCGAGTCCTACAGTATCAAACTTGATGTTGGTTTAAAAAGGATGTAAATGCAATTTTCACCAATTTCCCAAACAAATTAACCCATACCACTAGTGGCTGCAAGATTCTTAAGCAACTATAGAAACTTTCATTAGTAGTGATATTTATGATTTTTGTTACCCGGCTAATTCCAAATTAGTTAAGAAACTAAATTATCCTTTGAATTTCAAATTAAGTATGGAGAGTTTATATAGGTTTTCAGCATTTTTCCTCATTCCTCAAAATGTTTCCAAAAGGTAAACTGAACAAGAAAAAAATATATATATAATGAAAATGTCATTTCACAAATTTTCAAATACAATATTACATACTGATATCAAAAATTTGCAATCCAAAAAACAACTTCAACTCCTGCTCTAGAGTCTAGATTTAGAAGCCCTCCCCCCAAAAAATGTGCCTAGCACTTTTAAATTAAAAAAAAAAAACAAAACAAAAACTTAATGAATAAAAGAAGAAAAGTGAGAGAATAGGATTTCTGTATGTAATACACAACACGGAAGTGAACACTCAGATTGCAGTAGCAACTTCTAGCAGCATAGGTCCTCCTTGTAACAATATCAATACTAAAGTTAAATCAAATTTTTTGTGGGGCTTAATTTTCGTGGGCTTTTTTTCTTAACTTTTCTGTGGACACCTGATTTCATGGATAAATACAGCTCAGTAAATCTACCACTACTTACTTAACAATTCACGGGCATATCACTTTTAGGACTGAACAATTCTTGTAACAAATGGATTTCAGGATTATTAGTGTCCGTGAAATCAATGAAAAAAATCTCCCACAAAAATTAAGATTTTTTACAATAACTTTTTTTATACAAACATGTAAGACAGTCACAGATGAGCAATATATTTGTAACTGATATCATTTTTAGAAATCATAAACAGAAAAAAAAATCTTGAGACTTATACTTTAAGACAAGACAGGTGTGGACACAGATTAGAGGACTTTTAGAGGATATAAACAGGCAGTGTAATACATAGTGTATAGTCTGGCTTGTTATCTCACACTTCCACAGATACATACAGTACAAACACCCCTTTTATGTGAGAATAAAAGCAAAAGGTTAAGAATGTGTTTTAAACTAATATATAAATTAAAGGACTTGCCATTTCATAAATAGAAATTAAAAATTAGAAAAAAATGAAAAATCTTTTGTCATGCCTATTGTACATAACGGAAAACATAGACAGTGTACATTGTATTTCTCATGTCCAGGGCACAGAATTGTCAAAAAAATATAAAGTTTAAAACCGTCTTAAGTTTTTGACTGACCAACCATGGATAGCATCATGGAAAAAGACATTATATATATGAGATTGAAAACGCCAAATCTTAAAAGATTAAATCTGTTTCATGATCCCTCTGTCTGTTATCAATCTACTAATATTCAGTAGCTATCGCTATTTCCAGCCTTTTGATTGGCTGACGAGAAGGACCTGATCATGGTCCTTTCCTAAACTGACCAGTGTTTCAGCATCTCATCATCACGGCCACAATCATATTCTACAAATTGTAAAGCATACACGAATCTTCCCCTCCCTCCATCCCCTCCCCAAGAGCGTCCACTAATGTCCCCCCCCACCCCCACAGCGTACACTAATCTTCCCCTCCCTTCACTCCCTCCCCCCAACAGCGTACACGAATCTTCCTTCCATTGAGTCATAACATTGTTACGTTATAAAAATTTGAGTCAACATTTCAAACAAGTATGGCACATAACAAATCCTAAACAACATGGCACAAGACAAAACATAATAAACATCTACACTATAACTCTATATACTCAATTTTATCTATACAAGTGACAACTACACCAGTACAACTCACAGCAAACATTCACCAAAATATCAATAGTGTACAATTTGTACACAAACTCAACTGAAAAATAACGGCACAGTTCACATAAAAACTTAAACAAAAAAATAATGGTACATATTGCATATAAACTCTAACAAAAAAAAAATACAATATACATAAATATTTAACAGAAAAAAATTTTTATATGCCCACTCAAGTATAAATATGACAGGTAGTGTTTAAAAAAGTATGCTCTGCTGATTAAATGATAAGGGTAAACTTGTCGGGGATATATATACCTGGTAGCCATGACTAAATATACAATATAGATAATGAACAATTTAACAACACCAAACTAGAATTCAGCACTAATCAGGTAGTTGTGAGGAATGTTTGGAATTTCAATCTAAAGTACAAAATTAAAAAAAAAATTGAAAATAAGAAAAAATATTTTTATTTGTTTGAAATTTCCTAACATTTTTAAAATTTCCAATGTGCATTTTTTTTTTTTTTTTTAAGTTTACTCCTCAAAAACATTTGGTTGTGTTAAAAAATTTGAATTCAAACTCTCAAATTCTTAACAATACTCTTACAAATTATGGCTGATTATAATTTCAAATTACGAAAATAAATAAGGTTCTTGTGAATGTATTCTGAATGTGGTCAGTAACAGATTTTCAAAAAAAAAAGAGGCAAAAAAATTCCATGTAAACTAAACATCAGAAAGAAAATTATGAAAAATTGATATATAAAACTGACATTCTTTGAAAGATTGTCCATTATGCTATTGACATTCCCAAAAATATTAACAATCGGAAATAACCATATTTATACAATATATGTTATACCTTGAAGGAATACATAATATTAAGGCTTGATAAAAAAAAAACATGGACAATTCGATAAATTGGGAATTTTTTGTACAGTCTTATTTTTGCTGGTTTATTTTGCAAAAAACATGGGTAATTTGATATTTGCATATCTGATTTTTGCAGGTTTGTAAATAGTGAAGTCCATTTTTTGTGGATTTAAAAAAAAAATGATATCGCACTTACCATGTGAGTCCAAAATACACAGGGTATTCATTTTGGCTAAATTGATCTTTCATTCCTACAGGGTGACATCTCACGATGTTCCTGATGAGGCAGACAGAGACTAAAATACTGTAAAACTTTTTTTTTATTATTTGTAGTTGTTGATTAATTTATCTTCTCTAAACTTTTTGCCGATCAAAACTATCAAAAACAAAATTATGACAAAAATTTCCCAATTTACTATTTTTTTTTTACCAGTTATATCCCACAAAGCTGGGCAAGTACTTAAACATATCAGTGGAACTCTTGATGAGTAAAAGTAACTCATTAACTATTTACAGCAGCTAAGCTGTTCCATATAACACGGTCACATATGGCAATAAAGATAAACCAATCACTGCCTTGCTTCCAAATGACACATGCGAAGATATTATCTAGTTGCTCCAGTCTGTCCAAAGTGAAAGTATTAGTTGAACTATTGATGATTAGACAGACGCATAATAACTTCTGGTTTCACTGCACATGTGCATTACAATTTACAAAAGCCAGTTCACTGTTGCTATAGTAACGTAAACAAAGCTTGTGATTTAACTAAGCCAATTTTCACAGATTATGAGCTGAAGCTATTATGTTTACAACTATGCAGTATTTTTTTGATTGGTGGAAGCACAACAAATCTCATTTTGTTTTATAAATGCTATCATGTTTGATATGTAAAGAAAAGGGTTGACCAAAAAAAGTGATTTCTTATTTGAAAACATAAGCAAGAAAAAGCTTATACTAAAATAAAACATTTCATATAAACACTTTTAAATTGAAGTCATATTTTTTGCCCTGATATATTCCATTGACAATTCTGGAACTAATTATGGTGACAATCAGCAGTAGGTTACATTTTATCATTTTTTTCTTTTTTCTTTTTTTTTTTTTTGGTAACAGCAATTTCCAATATCGCCAGTTACCGGTAAATGTTTTCTGTCATAAATTTCATTCAGATGTGTGTGGTTTTTCTGAACAAAACAGAATATTCTATCTCACATTAACATTTCTTGATCAAAATAAGGAAACAAATTTCTTTTCTAACACTAACTCCAATGTTGTTCAGAGATTGCATTTTGAAATAGACTTAATACATCATTAAACAATGCAGAAATTTAAAGTGAAACAAAGTATATCATACGGATTAATCCATATTTGAATTTCATCATTTGATACTCAAATCATATCTTATTTCAGTCAAGTCATATATTTTTTACTTCAGGGAAAAAAAATTTACATAATGTTATTCTTTCTTAATAAGAATTCACAAGTCTGATATACCTGCAAAAACAGCCAAAAATATAGCAAAAAAAAAAAAAAAAAAAACAGTGTTATATGGTATTTATATAATTATATAATAATGGTGAATTCTGCTTCCACATAAAAGACTGACTGTATCGATCTAGACATTGAAATTAAAATTTCCGATCACTTATACTGAGGATTTCAACTTTTTATTATGAGAATTGTCCTCACTGTGGTTATTCTTTGCTTGAAAATTTCTTATAGAAAACAATAACACTTTTAATTATTAATATCAATCTCAGGCTCTCTCTGTTCAATTCTCTCTTCTGCGGGAAAATGAAAATTTCTTTCACTATGTCTTGATCTCGTTAATTCATTTCTGAAGTATTCAATTGTCTTTTTAATTCCATCCATCATTGGAACCTGAAACAGAAAGTAAAGTCATAATCACTACTGCAACAAGTTATGTCTTGTGTGTGATTGCTATAAATAGAACGAGTGAGAGGTTGTGCCCATGGGTCTGTACATGTCAGGGACAGGGACCATGTAGATAAAAGTACCTAATATGTACTTAACTGTAAGCGCAGGTAGATATTTCTGAAAATCAATTCTTTATTTATTACAGTCATGGTTTTGCCATGATTAATTGGTTGAACATACCGTAAATTTGCGGGTATAGTACACACTCAGGTTGTTGTACAAAAAAGTGTGTGTATGTCTTGTATAATTTTGTATAATAATCTTGTATAGTACACACTCGGGTTTTTGTACAAAAAAGTGTGTGTATGTCTTGTATAATCTTGTATAGTACACACTCGGGTTGTTGTACAAAAAAGTGTGTGTATGTCTTGTATAATTTTGTATAATAATCTTGTATAGTACACACTCGGGTTTTTGTACAAAAAAGTGTGTGTATGTCTTGTATAATCTTGTATAGTACACACTCGGGTTGTTGTACAAAAAAGTGTGTGTATGTCTTGTATAATCTTGTATAGTACACACTCGGGTTGTTGTACAAAACAGTGTGTGTATGTCTTGTATAATCTTGTATAGTTTTCTTTCTAATTAAGTAAAACTTGTTTCCATTTTTATGTATCAGTTTTTTCACCAAATGTGAATAAACTGCAAAGCAAGTTATTTCGGCAAGTATGATATTTTTGCTATATCATTGGACATTAACCTGACTGTAAAAATTTTGTGGCTTAAACTGGGTATGAAACTAGAAAATACATTGATAACTTATATGGTCCACCTCCTGGCTAATTTGTGTCAAAGTCTTACTAACTTCTAAAAAAGGAAAATGTGACGATGATCTTCAAATGGAAAACAAAACCTCATCCAAGGTATTGATGTATTTGACTTTGTTTTAAGTTTTAACAAAGTCAACAAAGATATTAACTTATTAGTGTGATGACACTGACTCCAAGCAAATTTTCATACCTTGGGTTTCCAGTTGAGATAATCTCGTGCCTTTGTGATATTTGGCTTGCGTTTTTTCGGATCATCCTGCATAATTGGTTTGTGTACAATTTTGCTCTCTCCACCTGGGTCAAGGTAAAGTTCAAAACATTAAAGCAAATCAAATATCAGTTTCATATTTCAAAAAACTATTTTGTTTAGATAAAAGTCAAAACATATTTTCATATTGATATGAAAGCAATTATATATTGGCAAACTGATTTGCTGTCATATTTGACTTTACCAAACAGAACACTCTGTAACAGATTAATATTACTGTGTTTATCCTGAAACAAATCCAGTGGCCCACACAAAACCGCTGACTAAAAGAAGGGGAGATAACTTATTCCAAAGAATGGTATACCTGTTGTATGTAAAAGTAGGGGAGATCACTGATTCAAGAGTAAGCATTACCTTTTTCATTGAAAACATCGTCAAGTAAATCTTAATAAATCCAAAGAAGTAATGACATGTTGCCAAAAGGAGAACAGAGTATACAACAACGGAACACCAAGCAAGCATCCAACTTCATAAAACACAAGGAAAAAGAAAAATTTGCTGATGAGAACTCCTATAACAACTAATCTTTGGGTGGTCTGCATGGCGCAGTGGTAAACACACCCATCTGTCATCTAGATGTCCAGTTTCCTCTCTAATTAGGAACCCTCATGAGCTTATGTCCAGTTCAACAAAGTTGATTGATAAAAGTTTCACAATTGTCGTAAAATAAACTTTAATTCAACAATCTACATGAACCTTCATCTTTTGAACCCCTATGATGCTAACTTAATTCTAGCTTAAGAGGACTGCATTCAACAGCCAATATGAGCAACATCACATCTATTTGCCTAAGAATGTTACACAGTGATTTTGAGGACAATGAGAAATTTGGCAAACACATTCTCATCAATTTCAAAATTGGAAAGTGAAAATGTAATAGAAAGTAATAATTATACAAAATAAAAGTATCGAAACTCAAAGAAAGTATTACAATAAAGGTGTGACTGGACTTAAACCTTTCTTGACACAAGGTTTTGTTGAAACAATCAGTCAAAATAGACATTACATAACACTTTGTATATGTCTGGTTTTCAAATATTTTAAATACCTTCTTGTACTAGATTCATACACACAGAATCACACGTAAGTAATGGAAGTATTTTCCAAATTAATTAACCTACTGACAGAAATATATATAATATGAATTTACCTGATTAACCCAAGTTTAATCTTACCTATAAGATTTTTGATGATATTAGCGAAATCAAGAATGGTGTGTTCATCAGGATTGCCGAGATTCACAGGCAGGGAATAGTTGGAATTCATTAATTTGACGAGCCCATCAACTAGATCCGATACATACTGAAATGACCTTGTCTGGTTTCCGTCTCCATATACCTGAAATGTACACAAAAACAATACTGAAGTTATAGGCAACAAAGATAGGATTTTCTTCTTCTTTTAATTCATTCATCAAAACACACCACTGCTCCAACACAATATATAATTATGTTTAATGTAAGAAAATAAGAAATCCCACATGGATCTTGGTGCCCACCACTGAAGGACCTTTTCTTGTACTATACAGAACCATTTCTGTCTCTATTTTTCCCTTATTTCCTCCTGAATGTGCCAACATAATAATCCTAAAAAAAGAAATCTAACAAGAACTTCCGGGGAATTAGAAATCACAAACTTCAACTGCTGCAATTCCCAGTCAGTCAAGTTGAAGAAAAATCTTTCCAATACTTGTAAACAAATAGCAACAACAAACTTCAAGTGTTAAAATCCAAGATACCATCTGTTGGACATTTTATCTAATTAATTAGTCTCAAAATAGAAAGAGCACAACTAGGAAAAACATAGAATATACAGATCAAGTTTGAGAAACACTGCTCTAGTACTTAACAAGAAATACAAATACAGACTGGGAGTGGAGTGATGGACAGACATAGATAACTCATTATTTCCCCCCCCCCCAAATTTCAGTTCAGAAATACCTTTTTCTCAATGTGCACTCACCGTCATTGGTTCTCCCTGTAGTGCTTGCAGTATAAAGTTGCTAACAACTCGTCCATCATTCATGTGCATCCTTGGGCCAAATGTATTGAAGATTCTTGCTACACGCACTTGTATATGATCCTGTGACATAAAAATTATCTTAGGCATTCAAAAAAGTTATCACATTTTTCATTACTGTCTATAGATATCAGTAAAGAAGACTTGGTATCTGAAGTTTCCTGTAAGGTTTTTTATTTGGACTTGCACAAGAATTGTAAATCTCTGCCCTCTACCTTAGCACTTTTTCAAGTCTTCATCTGTTACTTTCAAAGGTGTATTCTTCCCAAACTCTCATCAATTTTTGGTATACATTTCTACAGCAGTCATCCATTTTATGTACATTCGTAGATTTTCAAGTAGTCAAGATTTCTGTCTACTTGTCAAAAACAAGCCATGATTTTTACGAAGTCTTCCATCAATTGTCAGAATAACTATGTCATACATCATAAAAGGGCAGTGCTCACACAAAACACTGGAAAGAAGTAACTTCCTGTACATCCTAAATATCTCGACCTGATTATGTTAGGATACAATCATACCTGCTTTGCGTAAGCATAACACATGGTCTCAGCAACACGCTTGCCTTCATCATAACATGCACGTGGACCTATAGGATTAACGTGGCCCCAGTACTCCTCTGGCTGAGGGTGCACTTCTGGGTCTAAAAGAAAGATGTCCAGTTTATTTTTTTGATGTGAGAATTTTCATCTCCTCAGTAAAATATGACTATGGCTAATATTCAGCCTTTTAAACTCCAATGGTTTTATTGTAAGACTTTTACTCAAAATAGAGGATGGAATTATTGCAGCACAAACCTTGAATAAAAGCAGTGGATGGGCTTATTACAGGACAATGTGATAGTATTTTCATTTGTTTTATAGAACAGCGACAATAATGGGTAGACCAATTAACAGTCATATGCTGTTTGTTGTATAAATACACCAGCACAAAACGTGAGAAAACTATTTACCTCCATAGACCTCCGATGTTGATGCCAGCAGCAGACGGCCTCGTACACGCTTAGCTAAACCTAAAACAACCAGAGAAACCAATACAATCACCAACACCTATGTACGTACATTGACAATCTCATGCTATATATAATGTGAACATTAGACTGGAGCACCAGTATATGCAGACCAGAGGCGTAATTTGTTTAGTTTTCAGTACCAAGTTTTTACCATAGACTCTCAGATATTCCAGCATTTGGTACTGACCAATCAAATTCAGCTATTTTTTTCAAGATTTTTTCTGCCTCTGAAATTAACAGGTTAACAGACTAATAACGAGTTATCAACGACACAGCTAAATCATAAATCATATTAAACAATCAATCGTAACTCTTATTACATAAGAATGTAGTTTCATTCGACCAATCAAATCTCACCTAACATATGGATGGTGCCGATGGTGTTTGTCTTGATGGTTTTAACTGGGTTGTACATATAGTTAGGAGGAGAAGCTGGAGATGCAAGGTGGTAGATCTGATCCACTGAAAAACAGAAAACAGAAATCAGGAGTGACCCTTTGACCTAAGCTGGAGAGTCTTATGACTCACTGACACTTCACTATTGTGCAGTCACATCATCCTAAATGGCAATGCAGATGAATCTAATGGAAATATATTTACAACAGAAATGGCATTGTTATGCTTGGCCACTGTGTTTTTGACTTTTTTTAAATAAAAATATTTACTTTAGAATAATATGTTAACATATACTGGTATATTTCATAACAAATGAAGAAGTTTAGTCTGTCAAACATTAAATCCCTGAATTCTATTTATAGTAACAGCTATTGGTCAGGGAATTTTTTTTTCCTTCGAGAAGGGGAGAAATGATGTGTAAAAAGTCTATGAGGTATGACATGTGAAATGGCCACCATAATCAACTAAACATATATATTCACCAGAAATTGAAAATTCCTTTTGATTTTGATCATATCAAATTTGTATACCACATAGGTACTATGTTTTTATGAAATGTTTTTAAAAAATCAGAAAAATAGTGCTCCTAAATTTCAACACATCTGTTATCCAAAGATCAAATAGTGTCACTTACAGATGTTGTGAAAAATGTTTCGCCACGCTCATGATAGAGAGTTTATTGTTTACTTTAGGCTCATGCTTACCCTCTATGAAGAGTGGATTAACAATGTCATGGTTGATTAGTTCAAAGTTCTCGTGACCAATCCAATGTTCAACGTTACGTTTACGACCAGTGAAGAAATTATCCACCACAGTGACCTCATGACCTTCCAACATCAGCTTGTCAACAAGATGGGAACCAACGAATCCAGCTCCTCCAGAAATCTGTTAAGGACAGTTGTTATAAGTTTGTTTGGTTTATCAAACCAGTATAAGCTGGTGACTACCTCACTGAACAACATACAGGAGGCCCATCACACACTATCCAGTACAATTAGAGTAAAGTGTTTAGCCCAAGAACTCAACCATTTTACAGGGCTCTTGATCTGCCAGATTTGGGGCCGATATTCGGCCCCATTCCCAATGCAAAATAGTATCTTTTTTTCCCAATTTAGACCCCAAGTTTTCCCAATTCTATGGAAAACGCCGCTATTTTTCCCAATGGTAAGGGCCCCGGGCCCCAGTCCCAAAATGGGGTGTGAGAGCCCTGTTTTAGCACAGACTGGCCCATATTTCAGCTTTCTGAGAAACACAACTCACCACGAATATGGAGTGATGAGTCAAATCTCAGATCTTTACCCGATGTTACATAGGCCTACTATATATCCGAGTTAGCACGGCCCCTGGCAGTTTTAACATACACTCTAACATGAATAGTCACTATTGCCAGAAATTAATTATTTTACTTAGATTTACTGATATTTTAAAAGCAGAACTTTACATGTACATAACTGTTGATCTTATCTCGAACATCTTCACGGTCCATTGGTTTAAACTTTTACGTGAATTTTTTTCCGTGATTGAGGGTTTAATTGAACAAACAGAGCATTACTTTTTAAACATAAATTGTTTGAGATAGCAAAATGCCACTAACTTTTCTACACAGTCTCAGAGACCAGAACATGTCTGTAGGACAAATTCCTCTCCTACCCAAACAAGGATCTCCTCAGCTATTGAACTTGATAATATGATACTATGGGGTATGAACCAAATCTTTTGAGAGGTTCTCAAGACGTGACATTTATTTATAAATGGACTTAACATGGATAACACTTTATCCCGCAACTGACACTGCCATTGACTGAACAGCTATATCTGAGCATTAATTCCACAGAATTACTTTCAGAATTATATAAATATTTCTTCTAAAATTGTAAATAAATGTTTGAATAATCTATCTTATTTCTTGTAATAATCAAGTTTATTTACAAATAATTGTAAAATTGATTTTTACATCCATGGAAGCGTGGAAGTATATTTGTAAGTCATCAGGCATGATTTAGTAAAACGTCAACTCCAGGTAAATAACCTTCAATATCCCTAACAAACTGCTGAAGTTTCGACAGTCTGAATTTTCAATAAGTGTACCTTCACCTTTTCCAAAATACAGTTTATATCATAAGATACTGAGAACATATTCTCTATATATGATCCCCATTAAATAAAGCAAGCAAAAAAATATATCTAACACGTCTCCATTACAGTATATCTAACACGTCTCCATTACAGTACATACAAAGTATATCTAACACGTCTCCATTACAGTAGATACAAAGTATATCTAACACGTCTCCATTACAGTATATATAAAGTATATCTAACACGTCTCCATTACAGTATATATAAAGTATATCTAACACGTCTCCATTACAGTACATACAAAGTATATCTAACACGTCTCCATTACAGTACATACAAAGTATATCTAACACGTCTCCATTACAGTACATACAAAGTATATCTAACACGTCTCCATTACAGTACATACAAAGTATATCTAACACGTCTCCATTACAGTACATACAAAGTATATCTAACACGTCTCCATTACAGTAGATACAAAGTATATCTAACACGTCTCCATTACAGTACATACAAAGTATATCTAACACGTCTCCATTACAGTACATACAAAGTATATCTAACACGTCTCTATTACAGTATATCTAACACGTCTCCATTACAGTACATACAAAGTATATCTAACACGTCTCCATTACAGTACATACAAAGTATATCTAACACGTCTCCATTACAGTACATACAAAGTATATCTAACACGTCTCCATTACAGTATATCTAACACGTCTCCATTACAGTATACTTAACACGTCTCCATTACAGTAAATACAAAGTATATCTAACATGTCTCCATTACAGTACATACAAAGTATATCTAACACGTCTCCATTACAGTACATACAAAGTATATCTAACACGTCTCCATTACAGTATATCTAACACGTCTCCATTACAGTATACTTAACACGTCTCCATTACAGTAAATACAAAGTATATCTAACACGTCTCCATTACAGTACATACAAAGTATATCTAACACGTCTCTATTACAGTATATCTAACACGTCTCCATTACAGTACATACAAAGTATATCTAACACGTCTCCATTACAGTACATACAAAGTATATCTAACACGTCTCCATTACAGTACATACAAAGTATATCTAACACGTCTCCATTACAGTATATCTAACACGTCTCCATTACAGTATACTTAACACGTCTCCATTACAGTAAATACAAAGTATATCTAACACGTCTCCATTACAGTACATACAAAGTATATCTAACACGTCTCCATTACAGTACATACAAAGTATATCTAACACGTCTCCATTACAGTACATACAAAGTATATCTAACACGTCTCCATTACAGTATATACAAAGTATATCGAGCTTTGATTTCCATCTGGTTTTATCAGTTTTTGTTAATTTTCTGTCTAAGATATACAAACCAGAATCCTTTTCCTGTCTTTGTATGTGAGGAACTTCACTTCAGGGAATGTCTTCTTTCTGTAATTAAATACCGACTGTCTTTAATACCTATAATGTCACATTTGATTAGTTTAAGACTCTTTGCTGGATTTCATTAAAATTTCATTCAAATTCAGAAGAGACTTCTAATTATGTTTAAATGCTGAAAATTGTTAAGAAAATCAATTCTTAGGTACTTCTGCATTTGCTGTTGCTATGAAATCCATACAAAGTCTTTAAATCACTCATGCCTTTTGCTGTTCAGCAGAAGCCCTCCTGACTTTGAATAGGTCCTGTAATAAACTCACCCCCTGACTTTGAATAGGTCCTGTAATAAACCCACCTCCTGACTTTGAGTAAGGTCTGTAATAAACCCACCCCCTGACTTTGAGTAAGACCTGTAATAAACCCACCCCCTGACTTTGAGTAAGGTCTGTAATAAACCCACCCCCTGACTTTGAGTAAGACCTGTAATAAACCCACCACCTGACTTTGAGTAAGGTCTGTAATAAGCCCATCCCCTGACTTTGAGTAAGGCCTGTAATAAACCCACCACCTGACTTTGAGTAAGACCTGTAATAAGCCCATCCCCTGACTTTGAGTAAGGTCTGTAATAAGCCCATCCCCTGACTTTGAGTAAGGCCTGTAATAAACCCACCACCTGACTTTGAGTAAGGTCTGTAATAAGCCCATCCCCTGACTTTGAGTAAGGCCTGTAATAAACCCAACCCCTGACTTTGAGTAAGGCCTGTAATAAACCCACCCCCTGACTTTGAGTAAGACCTGTAATAAACACACCCCCTGACTTTGAGTAAGACCTGTAATAAACCCACCCCCTGACTTTGAGTAAGACCTGTAATAAACACACTCCCTGACTTTGAGTAAGACCTGTAATAAACCCACCTCCTGACTTTGAGTAAGACCTGTAATAAACCCACCCCCTGACTTTGAGTAAGACCTGTAATAAACCCACCTCCTGACTTTGAGTAAGACCTGTAATAAACCCACCCCCTGACTTTGAGTAAGACCTGTAATAAACCCACCCCCTGACTTTGAGTAAGACCTGTAATAAACCCACCCCCTGACTTTGAGTAAGACCTGTAATAAACCCACCCCCTGACTTTGAGTAAGACCTGTAATAAACCCACCCCCTGACTTTGAGTAAGACCTGTAATAAACACACCCCCTGACTTTGAGTAAGACCTGTAATAAATCCATCCCCTGACTTTGAGTAAGGTCTGTAATAAACACACCCCCTGACTTTGAGTAAGACCTGTAATAAACACACCCCCTGACTTTGAGTAAGACCTGTAATAAACCCACCTCCTGACTTTCAGTAAGACCTGTAATAAACACACCCTGACTTTGAGTAAGACCTGTAATAAACCCACCCCATGACTTTGAGTAAGAGTAAGACCTGTAATAACCCACTGACACCTGTAATAAACACACCCCCTGACTTTGAGTAAGACCTGTAATAAACCCACCCCCGGACTTTGAGTAAGACCTGTAATAAACCCACCCCCTGACTTTGAGTAAGACCTGTAATAAACCCACCCCCTGACTTTGAGTAAGACCTGTAATAAACACACCCCCTGACTTTGAGTAAGACCTGTAATAAACACACCCCCTGACTTTGAGTAAGACCTGTAATAAACCCACCCCCTGACTTTGAGTAAGACCTGTAATAAACCCACCCCCTGACTTTGAGTAAGACCTGTAATAAACCCACCCACCCCTGACTTTGAGTAAGACCTGTAATAAACCCACCCCCTGACTTTGAGTAAGACCTGTAATAAACCACACCCCCTGACTTTGTAAGTAAGTAATAAACCCACCCCCTGACTTTGTAAGTAAGACCTGTAATAAACCCACCCCCTGACTTTGAGTAAGACCTGTAATAAACCCACCCCCTGACTTTGAGTAAGACCTGTAATAAACACACCCCCTGACTTTGAGTAAGACCTGTAATAAACACACCCCCTGACTTTGAGTAATACCTGTAATAAACCCACCCCCTGACTTTGAGTAATACCTGTAATAAACACAACTTTGAGTAAGACTGTAATAAACCCACCCCCTGACTTTGAGTAAGACCTGTAATAAACCCACCCCCTGACTTTGAGTAAGTAATAAACACACCCCCTGACTTTGAGTAAGACCTGTAAACCCACCCCCTGACTTTGAGTAAGACCTGTAATAAACACACCCCCTGACTTTGAGTAAGACCTGTAATAAACCCACCCCCTGACTTTGAGTAAGACCTGTAATAAACCCACCCCCTGACTTTGAGTAAGACCTGTAATAAACACACCCCCTGACTTTGAGTAAGACCTGTAATAAACCCACACCCCTGACTTTGTAAGTGTGACTTTGAGTAAACTGTAATAAACCCACCCCCTGACTTTGAGTAAGACCTGTAATAAACACACCCCTGACTTTGAGTAAGACCTGTAATAACCCAAGCCCCCTGACTTTGAGTAAGACCTGTAATAAACACACCCCCTGACTTTGAGTAAGACCTGTAATAACCCACCCCCTGACTTTGAGTAAGACCTGTAATAAACACACCCCCTGACTTTGAGTAAGACCTGTAATAAACACACCCCCTGACTTTGAGTAAGACCTGTAATAAACACACCCCCTGACTTTGAGTAAGACCTGTAATAAACCCACCCCCTGACTTTGAGTAAGACCTGTAATAAACACACCCCCTGACTTTGAGTAAGACCTGTAATAAACACACCCCCTGACTTTGAGTAAGACCTGTAATAAACACACCCCCTGACTTTGAGTAAGACCTGTAATAAACCCACCCCCTGACTTTGAGTAAGACCTGTAATAAGCCCACCCCCTGACTTTGAGTAAGACCTGTAATAAACCCACCCCCTGACTTTGAGTAAGACCTGTAATAAACCCACCCCCTGACTTTGAGTAAGACCTGTAATAAACCCACCCCCTGACTTTGAGTAAGACCTGTAATAAACCCACCCCCTGACTTTGAGTAAGACCTGTAATAAACACACCCCCTGACTTTGAGACCTGTAATAAACCCACCCCCTGACTTTGAGTAAGACCTGTAATAAACACACCCCCTGACTTTGAGTAAGACCTGTAATAAACCCACCCCCTGACACACCTGTAATAAACACACCCCCTGACTTTGAGTAAGACCTAATAAACCCACCCCCTGACTTTGAGTAAGACCTGTAATAAACCCAACCCCTGACTTTGAGTAAGACCTGTAATAAACACACCCCCTGACTTTGAGTAAGGTCTGTAATAAACCCACCTCCTGACTTTGAGTAAGACCTGTAATAAACCCACCCCCTGACTTTGAGTAAGACCAACCCCTGACTTTGAGTAAGACCTGTAATAAACCCACCCCCTGACTTTGAGTAAGACCTGTAATAAACCCACCCCCTGACTTTGAGTAAGACCTGTAATAAACCCACCCCCTGACTTTGAGTAAGACCTGTAATAAACACACCCCCTGACTTTGAGTAAGACCTGTAATAAACCCACCCCCTGACTTTGAGTAAGACCTGTAATAAACCCACCCCCTGACTTTGTGTAAGACCTGTAATAAGAGCACCCCATGACTTTGAGTAAGACCTGTAATAAACCCACCCCCTGACTTTGAGTAAGACCTGTAATAAACCCACCCCCTGACTTTGAGTAAGACCTGTAATAAACCCACCCCCTGACTTTGAGTAAGACCTGTAATAAACCCACCCCCTGACTTTGAGTAAGACCTGTAATAAACCCACCCCCTGACTTTGAGTAAGACCTGTAATAAACCCACCTCCTGACTTTGAGTAAGACCTGTAATAAACCCACCCCCTGACTTTGAGTAAGACCTGTAATAAACCCACCCCCTGACTTTGAGTAAGACCTGTAATAAACCCACCCCCTGACTTTGTGTAAGGTCTGTAATAAACCCACTCCCTGACTTTGAGTAAGACCTGTAATAAACCCACCCCCTGACTTTGAGTAAGACCTGTAATAAACCCACCCCCTGACTTTGAGTAAGACCTGTAATAAACCCACCCCCTGACTTTGAGTAAGACCTGTAATAAACCCAGAACGCCTGACTTTGAGTAAGACCTGTAATAAACCCACCCCCTGACTTTGAGTAAGACCTGTAATAAACCCACCCCCTGACTTTGAGTAAGACCTGTAATAAACCCACCCCCTGACTTTGAGTAAGACCTGTAATAAACCCACCCCCTGACTTTGAGTAAGGTCTGTAATAAACCCACCCCCTGACTTTGAGTAAGACCTGTAATAAACCCACCCCCTGACTTTGAGTAAGACCTGTAATAAACCCACCCCCTGACTTTGAGTAAGACCTGTAATAAACCCACCCCCTGACTTTGATAAGACCTGTAATAAACCCACCCCCTGACTTTTAAGACCTGTAATAAAAGACCTGTAATAAACCCACCCCCTGACTTTGAGTAAGACCTGTAATAAACCCACCCCCTGACTTTGAGTAAGACCTGTAATAAACCCACCTCCTTACTTTGAGTAAGACCTGTAATAAACCCACCCCCTGACTTTGAGTAAGACCTGTAATAAACCCACCTCCTTACTTTGAGTAAGACCTGTAATAAACCCACCCCCTGACTTTGAGTAAGACCTGTAATAAACCCACCCCCTGACTTTGAGTAAGACCTGTAATAAACCCAACCCCTGACTTTGAGTAAGACCTGTAATAAAACCCCTGACTTTGAGTAAGACCTGTAATAAACCCACCCCCTGACTTTGAGTAAGACCTGTAATAAACACACCCCCTGACTTTGAGTAAGACCTGTAATAAACCCACCCCCTGACTTTGAGTAAGACCTGTAATAAACACACCCCCTGACTTTGAGTAAGACCTGTAATAAACCCACCCCCTGACTTTGAGTAAGACCTGTAATAAACCCACCCCCTGACTTTGAGTAAGACCTGTAATAAACCCACCCCCTGACTTTGAGTAAGACCTGTAATAAACCCACCCCCTGACTTTGAGTAAGGTCTGTAATAAACCCACCCCCTGACTTTGAGTAAGACCTGTAATAAGAGCACCCCCTGACTTTGAGTAAGACCTGTAATAAACCCACCCCCTGACTTTGAGTAAGACCTGTAATAAACCCACCCCCTGACTTTGAGTAAGACCTGTAATAAGCCCACCTCCTGACTTTGAGTAAGTCCTGTAATAAACCCACCCCTGACTTTGACTTTGAGTAAGACCTGTAATAAACCCACCCCCTGACTTTGAGTAAGACCTGTAATAAACCCACCCCCTGACTTTGAGTAAGACCTGTAATAAACCCACCCCCTGACTTTGAGTAAGACCTGTAATAAACCCACCTCCTGACTTTGAGTAAGACCTGTAATAAACCCACCCCCTGACTTTGAGTAAGACCTGTAATAAACCCACCTCCTGACTTTGAGTAAGACCTGTAATAAACCCACCCCCTGACTTTGAGTAAGACCTGTAATAAACCCACCCCCTGACTTTGAGTAAGACCTGTAATAAACCCACCTCCTGACTTTGAGTAAGACCTGTAATAAACCCACCCCCTGACTTTGAGTAAGGTCTGTAATAAACCCACCCCCTGACTTTGAGTAAGACCTGTAATAAACCCACCCCCTGACTTTGAGTAAGACCTGTAATAAACCCACTCCCTGACTTTGAGTAAGGTCTGTAATAAACCCACTCCCTGACTTTGAGTAAGACCTGTAATAAACCCACCCCCTGACTTTGAGTAAGACCTGTAATAAACCCACCCCCTGACTTTGAGTAAGACCTGTAATAAACCCACTCCCTGACTTTGAGTAAGACCTGTAATAAACCCACCCCCTGACTTTGAGTAAGGTCTGTAATAAACCCACCCCCTGACTTTGAGTAAGGTCTGTAATAAACCCACCCCCTGACTTTGAGTAAGACCTGTAATAAACACACTCCCTGACTTTGAGTAAGGTCTGTAATAAACCCACCCCCTGACTTTGTGTAAGACCTGCAATAAACCCACCAAGTGACTTTAAGTAGGTCCTGTAACAAGCAAATTTCCCTGATTTTGAAAAAGAAATAAAGAAACCTCTGGTTATACATTATATAGACATCTACATCAACCTTGAGTCTAAGGTAATGTGTTATCACCTCAGGCTTAGTGCAGAAAATCAAACACATACCCTTTCTCCAATATGGCCACTCTCTGCTTCAGTTGCTCAATGGACTGGTATGTGTCGTGATCCAACTCCTTTACAGACCTAAAACAACAGCGAGAGTGTAAATCATCTACAACATCGTCGATCATCACAGTAAATTAAGGTCACTACAAACATGTTTGGTCTAAATCCTCACCTAACTTGTCATCCAATCAGGCTGAACTAATCCACCACAGGACCAGGAGAAACTTTTTTGTTAAGTTACCAGAAAGAATTGTTGACCACACATAAATATGTAGAAAAAACTTTATTCTTTACTCTTTAATGTCATATTTTGGATATTACAATGAGCATCTGTATGAAATTCAGCTGTCTCAAGGTAACAACACTTGCTGATGATATACTGTAAAATTATCTGTTTTTGTGGGGCTCAAATTTTGTGGTTTTTTTTTACAAATAAAATTTTTTATTGGCACTTGATTTAATGATTAAACTTACAAAACTCACTAGTACTACAACCCATCTTTTATCTATTGTTGTGGGGATATAAATTTGTGGATTTTTAGTACTCACAAATTCAAGAAAAATTAATCAACCGATAAAAATGGTTTCACAGTTAAGCGAAATTAACATGTTGTATCTCATATAATATTTGTTGGTAATTTTCATGGTTTTAGTCATCCTTTAGATATGAAACTTTATTGTTTTCACAAAATTCTCTCAATTGAAATCTTAACCTTTACAAGCTATTTTCTTGATTTGTCTATAGCTACGAAAATGACAAACATTTCATGTCATACATTAAGTCTGTCTTCAAATCCTCTTTCCATATTCAATATTTGTAATTGTGCCTTGAACTTTGCAAATGTTTGAATAATGATATTGTATAATATATTTATTAAGGATTAGATTTAAAGTAAGATAGATTCATTTCAGTAATAATTACCATAACTTTAGTATGCAAATACAGTTCCTGCACCTACCTTCCCTACTGTCCCATGAGCCATTATGACAGAGACATAAAGTGACCTTCCTTCCTCTTTCCTTTATGACGCTTCTGATGGTTGACGTGTTTCAGATGAGTTTCATGATGTAATTTATACCATAACTTTATAGAGTCCCAACCTATCCTCCCCTTTCCTTTCTCTGCCCCTCTTTTTAAAGCCATAAGGATTTTTGAGGAAGGGAGATCACTTTATGTCTCTGTCGTAATGGCCTATGGGACAGTAGGGAAGGTGGGATTTTTAATCTTTTGTTTTTGAAAAATGGTTTTAAATGTAAAATCCTCAAATTAGCCCACCTGACAGGTGTAAGTTTTACTTATAAAAATTGGTTTTCATCCTAGTCAAGACATGATTTTGCAAATAAATCTCTTCTAATGTCAAAATTCAAAATAACTGCTAGCGGCCATCTTGAAAATCTTGTAAAGTACAAAATATGATCTGAACATGTGTTACTAGGACCCATATAGACCAAATATTTGTCACGAAGATGATGGCAGCCATCTTGAAAATATTATCATGTACAAAAAGTGTCATGCACACCGAGTTCATCCTTCAAGTCTCAACCTGAACCTGGCTTAGATTCTTCTGGTAAATATATATATTTTTTTAGAATGACTGAACGATTTATCATCTTACCACATACGAGAAGTGATCTAGGAATTCAACAGTTAAAGGCAAATAACAGGCGTAATCAGTGATTTACAAGTCCATTGACAGTAGCCACCACAAAATTTTTATCGTGTAGGAGAGCAATGTTCAGATTTATTAGGTTTACATAATTCATACCCCCTTCAGTAGTTATGCTTTATATAGGAAACCTCTACAGAAGTTAGCATAAAACATTAGATGTTTTGGGGGTGAAAAACTCCCATTTGGGGGGATTCTGGGAACATTGAGAGAGAGGTATGGGATATATACTTATAGATATAAAACTTGGAAACTTTAAAGTGACTTTTGTTGTAAAAATGTTAAGTCTAACATGGGAAATTTTGCAAATGCAAAAATTGACATAACATCAATCTAAAACCTCAAATGATTCATCAAATATGAGGGGTGTGGGACATATCCTTATGGAATAAACAGCCTTTATAAATCTATCCACATATTTCGGGGTGGGAGACCAACACAGATGAGGAGAGAATAGCATTAGTTCACAGTCACTCACAACTCCTGTTCCAAAAACAAATGTTGGTGGAAATATTTGATGAACATAAATTCCATTTAGTGATTGGAAAGTTGTTTATAGTTCCTAGTATAAATCATATAGATCTAAGATTTGCCTAAGGCTACAGAATTAAACATATACAGTGTACAACCTGGGGACAATTTACACTCACGTTAATTCAGTGATGAGCACATTCGGAGTGTTATCCAGAAGTTTCTCTAGTTTTGCTATATAGCTAGATGGGCGTGATAAAGATTGAAGTATAAAGTAGCTGTCAGTAATCAAAACTTCACTGTTAAAACTCCAAATAAAATCTAAAAATAATGCTACCTTTTAATTCATTCAAACAGTGGCATCATTCAAAATATACCCATGAACTTTATGTTCTTTTGAAGCTATCCAATATTGGGATGTTATGAAATTTATTCAATTTTCTGTGTTTGTATCAATCTTTTTTTTTTTGATTTTCATTATTTGGTTGAACTGTATCTAATTTTTTTTATTTACATTAAAAGTTGCTATTCTTTTGTATGTCTTTTGTACAATCTGAAGTTAACTCCTAAAATACTTTGTTTTGTAAACTCTGACTTCATGATGATATCACCAGTAATGGATCATCATCACAGAGAACAAAAAAAAGGGCCACGCCCTCATCAATCTATTCAACTGTCTTCATCAGAAAAAGCCTTGGATGGGTCAAGTGTCACCGTGGTAATGCACTTGACTTTCACCTAGCCGTTTGGGGTTCGATTCCCATAACGGACATGGAATGGTATGGAAGGTCACCTGCCCAACCATGTGGGTTTTCCTCAGGTACTCAAGTTTCCTTCCACAATAAGACCGTTTCCCATCCAGGCCAACAATAGTGATTAATATAAGTTGGAAAACCTTGTTTCCCAATTGTTGTAAAATAAATACATGATTTATTAATTTAAAGCCTAATATTCATTTGTCAGTGATTATAAAGACTGCAAAGGCTTATCTTTATTCTGTTTCTTGTTGTTGAATTATCTGTCGTTGTGAGCTATGTCATTGATTTCAGGAGTGAATTTGTGATGAAACAACAGTGACATGATACTCAAAAGTTGCTAACAAGAGCAGATAACTCTGCATTACAAAGATGGAATACACTACTAAAACTAGTGATAGGAACCATTTTTGTCTTCATAAATGATAATGATAAATGGTGCCCATAACTAATCACAACATACTGCAATAACTACTATTTTAGGGGTTATATTATTTTTCATTTTCAAGGATAAAATAAAACCACAAAAATAATAATCTGGAAAATAACATTACTGTAAATCCAGTAAAATTTTAGCACAATATCGATTTTTCAGCAAATTAACACAAGGATGAATTTGCCTAGATCAGTGCTCCAGATAACTTTTTGACATGTGGGGTTTTCACTCCTACCTTTATAAATTGAGGGGTTTTTTTACCCCTGCCTTCATCAAGTGTATGGGTTTTTCCATATTAGGGTAACACTGAACTTGTAAACATTTTTGACAGCGCCATATTTGCTATGCGACTGGTTTATAATCACGATCAAGAAAGCGCTTGTTACGAGTTTCGTTTACTTGATAAGTGTCTGTTGTTTGACTTAGATTATTGAGTTTTCTAACTACGTAATATTGGAGCCGGACATTGACGCAGAGTTCGGATTACGCACGGGTTAATGACGCAAATCTTATTTTTTTCCTAGCGTGAAATTAGAAATATTGTGCGTGAAAACGCATTCACGCAGGCTATCTGGAGCACTGCTAGATCAACAGAAATTGTGGTATACATTTGCATAACAATACCCAGAGGCGACAATTAACAAAAACATATTTTAGCACAATGTGTTCAGTGAAAAAGTTGCTAAAATATCATTACATGTATAGTCATGAAGAAAATGATATAGTTTACTATATGGCTTTTGCAATAAGCAAGTGAGAAAACTGCAAAAATTACAACTGTTGGCAAAAACTTTTTATAAAATATCGGTTTTATGGGTCATCAGAGGGAACTGTTTTAATATTGTGATTCTCTTAATGATACAAATATTATGTTCATGAAGAATTTGAAGAAGATTTTAATCTTTTTTATAGAACACTGCAAGCAAACATATTAAGCAGTCTTTCCAGTCAAAATTACTTGAAAAAAATAGCTGCTTTTTAAGAAAAACAATTCTTGTAAAGTTATTTTTTGTAGATCATACACAAAGTAAAATTATGTTTCCTGTGTCTTTCGTGGGCACAACCATTTAGTCTTCTCTTTGATTTTGGTATTAATACATTGGCTTAACTTAAAATTTAGATCATCCATCTATCACTGCTATATACAAAAATTACTTACCTTAATACTTCATTAGAATTTGAAAACTTTCCAAAGCCAACTGGAAAAGATAAAATAAAATCAGTCAGTACTGGTATCCTTTGCTCAAATAATTACTTTTTATTCTTTCTGGAAGCATGACATGTTACAACAACTAAAATTATCAGGGTGTGAACCATGCAGGTTATTAGTGCATGTGATATGCCCCGACAAAATGGCTGTTCCAAAATACATAACAGTCCAGAACCAATGTTCAGACAATCTTCTGTTTATATGCAATGCTGCAAGACAAAAACAAGAGATTTTGAAGAATAGTGCAGCGTGCCAATTGATGATGTAATGTGAAGGTACAAGATTTCGCACACTTCTTGTAGGTAACTATATATGTCTTTCTATCGTATTTATTTATCTTAAAACAAAAAGGATTGTCCCACATTGTTGAATGTAAAACACAGTAATATGTACAAATACTTCGTAAAACATCAACATAAACGTCATCTGATATACGCAAGCATATTACTCCTCAAGAGTGTTGTTATCAACTGATGTTTACTTCCTGGTGAGAAGATGGGCGGGAACATAATTTTGCACACGCATCTAGTTTCCTAATCTTAATTGCTAAACAGGATTTCAAAACACTGTGTATACAAACAATTCCTTATCATAGATAGAGCAAAAAAAAATGCTTTTAAAAATGTTAAAATGCAAATATATTTTACTAAATTGAAAGAAGTCATTTGACTGCCATTTTACTTTTACTTCGTTAATGGAAAATGTAAACGAGCAGATGACAGGTCATGGGGGTATCACTGTTATTAGCTTTATTTGATGGATTTTCATTGGTGGGCTCTCACTCATTTATGTTTATTACACTATGTGTTCCTTCAATTTTGACCCCCAATACCTTAAATTCAGTAAAATTTTGTCACTAGAATCGCTCAAGATTTATCTTGTCTTAGATGCTGTTATGTTAATAACACTATATATTCCTTCAATTTTGACCCCCAATACCTTAAATTCAGTAAAATTTTGTCACTAGAATCACTCAAGATTTAGCTTGTCTTAGATGCTGAATCTTCGTCAGCTTACCATAGTCTTAAGTCACTCAAGAGTCATAGGCTCTGCAATCACTTCAGACTTTCTTTTGCTGAGCAGTCTTCTCTCGAGTCTTGTTAATCTGACCTCTCTAAATCGCTTAGAGACTTTAAGCTTCTCCAGGTTACCTTTAAGTGTCACATGCTACTCTGAATTTCAACAGAATCTAGCTCCTCTTTTTTTTCTGGAGTCAAGTTTGAGTGTAATTTTAGTGTATAATATCTATAGTATTGTCTGTAAGTATGATCATTAGTTTGAGTGGGTAGCCCCCTAATATGCCAAAGACTTAGTTTGAAAATTTTTCCAATTTGTTGATCCTATGTTAAAACATATATGTACGTTGCTCATTGTTTCATCATCAGATGCAATTAACAGGTTAACTGTTTCTTGTTGTAGTTGTATATAAAAAAAATTTTAACTGTAATCTGATGAAATAATATTTTCTATTAATATCTGGAAATACATACCTAATCTAACTGGTCTCTGGGATGAGTTTTTATTAAATATTTAATTACCTGATGTCAATTTTCTTTGACCAGAGCCGTATCTGCAATGTTTCGCATTCAAAACGAGATTAATCAGAAGTGCTTTATTTACAACAGCAAAAGAGCAATGTAATCAGGTGTAACTCGGGAAATAAACGAAAAATACAAAAAATCACAAAGTGTGTGTATTTACATACTGTGGGAAATATTGTACCATATGTACTCTATTTGAAATCTCAAATCAATGTCTTCCAAGAAAATATTCTCAAAAAACATAAACTGAAAACATTGAAGACATAGTATCAAGAATTATTTAAGTTGTAAGTACATGTTGTCTTATCGTTAGGATTTTACCTTCAGTGAAGTGACAGAGGGTCTATTTTGACTGCAAGAGGTTGCTATATTTTATCTAAATTAAACAGAAATCATTGTAAAGAAGTTGTATATGGTATTTATCTACTAATAAGACAAAGTCTTGTAGCAAAATTACCGAAATCTTCTGCAGTTAAGTTAAAAAAGCTATCAAATGATAACTAATTGTCCTGAAATACGTACCTGCGCACTACACCCGCAAATTCATGGTAGGTATTTCACATAATATTGTAAACTAACATTCTTCAAATTTTGCAAGCATATCTAATTTTAAAAAGCTTATAAATAAAGCGAAAAGTAATACCTATAATAAGGAAGTAAGTTTACAGTGCAAAGCTTATATGTAGTAGGTCTCCTGGAATTATTAAATACTCGATACATCATTTAAAACATTTTCATACACATGCATACAAAATGGTGCCAGTTACTATATAAGGTATGAAATGTGACGCTATATCTTTTACATTCTCGGAGAAGCAGGATGGAGCTTATACAAAATAAACAGATAAAATTTTGCCAGATTTTCAGGTGAACAACATTATTGATAAATGGTGACAGGGTTTACACAATGTATGATTAGTTTTTTAGTATTATGCTATACAAAGTACAAGGTTCTGGCACTAGCATGTATATTACAAAAGTGATGAAGATTCCTACCCATCGAAGGAAAGGATGTTTCAGATTACAAATGGTTAGATAAAATTTTTAGATTGTTCTGTTTTGATATAAATATTACTGATACAAGGCTCTCAATCTGTTAGATTTGGGGCCAAATTCCCAATGCAAAATAGTATCTTTTTTTCCCAATTTAGACCCCAAGTTTTCCCAATTCTAAGGAAAACACCATTATTTTTCCCAATTCTAAGGGTCCCGGGCCCCAGTCCCAAAATGGGGTGTGAGAGCCCTCTGATATATCATAATTATCGTATAAGTATCAGACAATACAAAAAATATTTTTGATTCTGCAAATCAACCCTGTGTTCTGAGTGAAAATACAACAGGAAACATATCAATGCCTTTTGAGTGCCAGTCCATTGCTCTACAAAATTAGCAAAAGAAGCATCTTCCATCATCTGAGTTAAAAAGAATGCACATACCACTACAAGCTACAAGATGACCTCCTCCATTTACATGACTTCTAGATCCGTTTTCACTCAATATTTACCAAATTTTAACGGATACCCTAAAAACTAACATTAAACCCGGATTTTCATAATTCTGCAACCTGCAGGATTTCGTTAGGAGCTAAATGAAAAAATAGGGAAAAAAACAATTCCCCCTAATTACTCCACAGGAATCAAACCTGGGTATCTGGTGTGATAAAGGACAGTAATTCACAATTTTACTACATGTGCCAAAGGAGCTGCTCTATATAACTGAATTATTCTTTGTAAATCCATCATAGACCTACATATTTTTGGAACTTAAGTCATTTCAAATGATTCGTACCATGTTATTTTGGCACCAAGTTGTTTCTGTACATACAAAATTTGTTTTGGTACTTGCAAAATGGTTTACACAACAAGTCAACAATTTTTCAGTAAGGGAATGAGTAATATTTATTAATTATTAAACACCTTTAAAAACTTCATTAAATACATTATCAAAACATTTTCAAAAGTACTGAAACAAATTATTTTGTAAGCACTGAAACAAGCTGCTCCCATATTTTTGCTTCCTTGATACTTCTTCAATCCGGCATTTTTTTTTTTTTTTTCAATCTCGTCATTTTTAGCTTCCTGATTGTCTATCGCATTAAAAGAATCAAATTTGGTAATTTCTCAAGTGATTTTTGGAGACAATTTCTTTAGACATGGTGTTTATTGTGTCTTCAGCTGATGTGTTGATACTAAGGTCAGATCACAAATTTGTAGTTTTCCCCGACCTGTCCAAGGAAGTATTTTCCATCAAAATAGATTGTTTATATCTGTATACTAAAACGCCCTTATCAATTTCATTATTTCAAAAATACTGGCACTCTTACTAATTTGTGGCTCGTCTGACTCTGGTTGTGACAAGAACGCATACTGTAAGCTTAGTACACAAAGAACTTTCGATTCCCATCAACGTTGTGTCTTGTGAATTTGCGCATGTTACCGGCGGCACTAAACCACTGAAGTAACAAGGAAATAATGAAGGAAAAGGAATGTAACTTACTTATGATCAATGCTGCGACTGCAGCTACAGTTACAAGCGCATTCCTCATCTTTTTAATCGGTAGCATCACTCGAAGTCGTGTCCACATCACACGCTCACGTTAACATCCTGACCACGGTATCTTCCTGCTATTTTTCATTGGAACTCTTCTGCGTATTTGGAAAAACTAAAATCTTCGCGATACTAGAATATACTGACAATGAATGCCAAGTGCTTAGTTATTTTTACCGATTTTTGTCTTCTTGACCATCCTTCACACATATTTTAATCATGAACATTTTTGAAAATATTGAATTATATTGAAATAAAGGGCCAACTAAATGTTTTACAGTGTTACGAAACATAACTGTGATTACTAGTTCAAGGTAGTACTAAAAACCGTCAACAAATAAAAGATACCACTGATTAAGCAATTTCAGCAGAAAAAAAACACAATGTGGTTTGAAAAAACCATCTTCAGTGTGTGATAAGTGTAAAGTTGTATAAATTGGCGGCAATTGGCAAACGTCATGTTATTTGTCATCTCTTTTAAGTAATCTCACTTTTTTCTACATTTGTACTGTAACTCTCAGCAGGGACGTATAATACAGATATTGTATTATACGTCACTGCTCTCAGTAACAAGAAGGATCACAACCTTCCTGTCTTCTAGACGAGCATCTTAAGTTTTGGGACTGATCTGAAGAACAAAATAGCCGACGGTGGGTCATATTGAATTTGAAATTTGAATATTGCTCTCATTATTCCTTGTATGAATCAATTTTCTCAAATTTCAATTGTAGATTCCACTTGGTAACGTTTTGTACATGTTGATTAATCAGAAAGCATTTAATGAATGACAGGCAGACATCTTGGAATTTGACGATTGAAGTTTGTTACCACTCTTTCTTGAGATCAAAGTACCTGATTGGATCTCTCTCAAAGTTCATGTCTACTTCCCTTGTTACATATGTAACTGTGCATACTTATTTTTTGTAATTGGTCCGAAAAATAAAATTTAGAAAAATGGACAGGTGTCCCTCTTTGATTTTCATAATCAAATTTCGTAAACCATTTCGTAAGAAGTAGTTAATTGGCCATTTGTTTCATGTGTAAATTCCCCTAGTCCTTTGTTATGCATTAACTCTAGACATGATCTAAAAGACAAAAATAGCTGAGAGGCAGCCATATTGAATTTTGAAAATGAAAACAAAATGGACTCACCTTTGTCTCTTGTTGTGCATGATGCATTTTGGGACTGATCAGATAAAAATGGCAAACTGGAGGCCATCTTGGATTTTTATGTTATAGCCACATATACATATTTCTTGAAAAGAACTAGCAATCTTTCTCAAATTACATGTGAACATTCAATTTAGTCCTTAGTTGTTTATGATCGATTTTTTTGACTGATTAGGAAAACATGCTATAGCCAATAAGAAACCATCTTGGATTTTGATAGTTAAAATTTGTTATCACTCTTTCCTAAAAAATACTACAAAGATCATTTTCAAATTTCATATGTAAGTCTCAATTGCTTAATCATTGAATAATTGTTGTTAATGAAGCTCATCGGGCAAGATCCCTCTATGATCTCAATAACAGCCAGGCAATGGTGGACACAAAGATCCCTCTATGATCTCAATAACAGCCAGGCATTGATGGACACAAAGATCCCTCCATGATCTCAATAACAGCCAGGCAATGGTGGACACAAAGATCCCTCCATGATCTCAATAACAGCCAGGCAATGGTGGACACAAAGATCCCTCCATGATCTCAATAACAGCCAGGCAATGGTGGACACAAAGATCCCTCCATGATCTCAATAACAGCCAGGCAATGATAGACACAAAGATCCCTCTATGATCTCAATAACAGCCAGGCATTGATGGACACAAAGATCCCTCCATGATCTCAATAACAGCCAGGCATTGATGGACACAAAGATCCCTCCATGATCTCAATAACAGCCAGGCAATGGTGGACACAAAGATCCCACCATGATCTCAATAACTGCCATGCAATGGTGGACACAAAGATCCCTCCATGATCTCAATAACAGCCAGGCAATGGTGGACACAAAGATCCCTCTATGATCTCAATAACAGCCAGGCATTGATGGACACAAAGATCCCTCCATGATCTCAATAACAGCCAGGCAATGGTGGACACAAAGATCCCTCCATGATCTCAATAACAGCCAGGCAATGGTGGACACAAAGATCCCTCCATGATCTCAATAACAGCCAGGCAATGGTGTGCATGTAAGGCCCCTCCATGATCTCAATAACAGCCAGGCAATGGTGGACACAAAGATCCCACCATGATCTCAATAACAGCCAGGCAATGGTTGACACAAAGATCCCTCCATGATCTCAATAACAGCCAGGCAATGATAGACACAAAGACCCCTCCATGATCTCAATAACAGCCAGGCAATGGTGGACACAAAGACCCCTCCATGATCTCAATAACAGCCAGGCAATGGTGGACACAAAGACCCCTCCATGATCTCAATAACAGCCAGGCAATGGTGGACACAAAGACCCCTCCATGATCTCAATAACAGCCAGGCAATGGTGGACACAAAGACCCCTCCATGATCTCAAAAAGAGAGTCAGTGTCCTGATTGGTGCATGTGATATATCATAGAAATAATTTTGTTAAAAAAAGTAATATAACTTTAACTATATTGTACACATAATACAAATGTGACTCCTGTATACCTTAACTACTGTCCCATGCTTAGGCTTCCAACCAAGTTTGAATTAATTGAATTTACACTCAAGATTTGAATTTTCCTATATCAAATCTTCCATCCAGGAACAGTAGAACATCTTTGAAATTTCAATCAATTCGACCCATGACCCATGACCCCGGACAAAAGAGGATCACAATAGGTCACCCTGAGACTTTGTCTCAGATAACCTTATAAAGGCCATACAATGGTGGACACAAAAATCTCTCCATGATCTCAATTCATAGACACATGAATGCCAACTGAAAGCAGCATAATGCTTTTATTGTCATTTTCAATTTTAATCTTGCAAGGAAAGGAAACCTCAGTCTATTGACATTACTACCTATTCTGTTGGCAGTTCATGAGCTGGTAATACACAACTGATTTAGGTAAGTTTACTTGATAGGAATTTAAATGCCATATTATGGTAAATATCAAAGTTTGATAATTCCGTAAAAAGTTACTTTCTTCAACAACAGCTTGCCTGTTAAGGATGATGATGATCATATTTCCAATACTATTATACAACTTGAGGTCAAGTGTCATTCCTTAATTAATTTTTTTTTTCAACTTGTGAACTGCCGGTGTCATTTTGAGGTGGGTCACCATGAGTAGTAAGTAGTTGGTGACTACCTCAGTGTACCACATGGGAGACCCATCTCCTGCCATCTGTTGCTTGTCTAATGACACACAAGTCAGCAGACCAATCCATTTCTCAGTTTCCTGAATAGAACAAGCTGCTACTTGTAGGAAACATTGAACCATCAACCGAAGTTGTGCGAGTCAATACTGTACTGACTGAACTCTTGTGAGCCCTACTATCTATCTATCTATCACCTTTTGAAGTGACACAAAAATAAAAAATAAAACTACATTTGTTTCATCACTATTCATTTATTTTGTTATGAATTAACTTATATATTTTATTTCATATGAAACATTAATAAATCTACAGTATAATCATGTAATCAAATCTATGTGTATATAGAATACAGTTAGTCACTCTATATTACAATATGCAATACACTTGGAATTGCTTTCTTGCGAAACAAGTAACTTGGATATATTTTATAAAATATACTACTTTAACTTTAACATTAGCAACATATAACACTATATCATGGAAATGTAACTGTTGTCATATCACCCTGCATATTAACCATGACTATCACAGGAGGCCAACAGCACTTCAATGGGAGAAAAAAAATGGCTCCTAGACAACATATTGCAGTAATTATCTGTAATTGTCTGGTTCAACCTGCCAGACGCTCATTTGTGGTCCCGTGTATCTTTGCAGAAGTTAGTATTCTAACTTCCTGGTTTAAACAATATGGTCATCATATCCTACCACCGGGTGCCAAACATTTCTATTGAATTAGATGAATAATTTATAAAAAAAGTTCATGCAAACAAGAGGCCAAAAGGGCCTGGAATAACAATTGAAATGAAATGTTTTTAAGCCATCCTTGAGATTTTTAGATAATTCTGGAAAGTAACATAAAAGAGTAAGAAAAAATAATGCTGAAATTAATATTTGAAAATAAATGTACTTGTATGATTTTTTTATCCAGAATGATTTTTTACGATAGCTGGCTTGGCGTAAACTATCAACATGTTTGTTTTGTGAACTGAGTGTCCAGTATGACACAGATAACTGGTTCTCATGTCCTTAACAGTGTCAATGATGTTTGTCTTGTGGTCTTTCTCATTTGACAGATATATTTGATTGACTAAATAGCCTAAACCGTTGAAAAGATGTGTGCCTTAGTGGACTCTCTGACACAGATATTTAGTTGACTTAGCCTACACTGTTGAAGACAAATGTCTCGCCACCTCTCTGACAATTTTCAGTTGGGTTGGCTTAAACTATTGAAGAAAAGAGTCTTGCCAAATCTCTGACAATTTTTGGTTGGTTTGGCCTGAACTTTTTAAGACAGATGTCTTGCCAACACTCTGACTATTTTTTAGTTTGCTTGGCCTAAACTGTTGCAGACAAGAGTCTTGCAAACTCTGACCATTTTCAATTGGCTTGGCCTGAAGTATTGAAAACAAGTGTTGAGTCAACTCTCTGATACCTATATTTGACTGAATTAATTGGCAGCATTGTGCCTCGAGATTCACTCTTTGATCTAAGAATACACAGTATTCAACAAAATATCAATTTATGCTGCATATTGCTGATAGATTAAACTGCATTGGAAAAAAGACAAATCATTTGAATAAATCTCTATTATGCATACAAACACTACAAATATGATAAAATTCAACCAGAATTTAAGAGACCTTTGAATTAAATTTTTTGAGAAAGTAAATCAAAAGAA